CGCCAATCGCCAATCCCAATCCAATCCGCGTCGACAATTGCTAGTCTGATTTGGCCGCAGCAACACAGATAAAATATTTTTGCAGGACGCACAAAAAATGTTCGAAGACCCCGCGTAAAGCCTCCGCTACAATGATTCTCGGTTCTGTCTACAATGGTCGTAGTCGTAAGAATAATCGACTGCGATTGGTCAATTCAGTCAGTCGCATAAGAATTGACCAATCGCAGTCGATTATTCTTACGACTACGACCATTGTAGACAGAACCGAGAATCATTGTAGCGGAGGCTTAAGAATTGACCAATTATAGTCGACTATTCTTACGACTACGACTTTACGACTACAACCTTACGACTACGACTTTACGATTACGATTTTACGACTACGACTTTACGGCTACGGCTTTACGACTACGACTTTGCGACTACGACTTTACGACTTCTGCGTGGTCTACAATGCGAGTCACAGAGTCGTAGTCGTAAGAACAATCGACTGCGATTGGTCAATTTCGTCAGACACATAAGAATTGACCAATCATAGTCGACTATTCTTACGACTACGACTTTACGACTTCTATGTAGACGAGGCTTAAAGCCTCCGCTACAATGATTCTCGGTTCTGTCTACAATGGTCGTAGTCGTAGTCGCTCGATAAGAATTGACCAATCGCAGTCGATTATTCTTACGACTACGACCATTGTAGACAGAACCGAGAATCCTTGGGCTTGTTTTCTGTTCCTGCACTGGTGAACTAGTGCAATAAATTGGAGTAAGACAAGTATATTTTTTCTCATTCTAGCTTACTGCACTAGTTCACCAGTGCAGGAACAGAAAACAAGCCCATTGTAGCGGAGGCTTTACACTTTTTTCGCAGACATAACAGACTCGTTCAATTGTCGCCGCGTGAATGATCCTGCATACGGCGTGCCCTTGTTTCGCTCGAGCGTAAACAACTCAGTCGAAAGCCGAGCGCCGGTTCCACGAAATGACATAGTGCCGTAAACACCTCTGTCGAAAGCAGTCTATTATTTGGCGCAGTTTAGTCAAGTCGAGCGAGGCGAATGTTCCGCGTGTCTTCGCGTCGCTCCTCGTAACGCGATCATTTCCTACGAGAATCTCGATCGTCTCGTACGAGAGACATTAACATTTATCAATCGCGTTCAAGTAATTGTCGCGATCCGTAGTCGTATCGTTGATTTCTACAGTGATCACGTTTTTTTTATGAATCCCACCGCACATCTCGATTCTATCGGCAGCCGTGGAATTATTCGATCAGCTGCTTCAATCGATATCCCCACGCGCCAATGTTTCCTCTTCTTCTTATTTAAATATCCTCAATCCTATTTTTGAATTCCCTCGAATAATCAATCAACCACGAAGCACAAGTGTCTGTGATACGAAACGCGAGTGGTCGCGCGCCGAGGCGGCCCTCGGCGAATCCGATTCGCCGCTCGCGCGCTGGCCGATGACGTCGCAGCGCCGCAGCGAGTGAAGTTGGGCGCGAGTGCGCGGTGCGAGCCGAGTGGAGCCGAGAGAGCGAGAGCTGACGCCGCGACGGACGTGGGGACGGGCTGGAACTGGAACTGACTTGTGGCGAGTGACAGGTGGTTTGACGTTTCGTCGGTCGCCATCGTCGTCGTCGTGCCAACGACAGCGCGCGGCCTGCCATATTGCACGTTGATCGTCCCGAGGCCGCGAGCCTTGCGTTCCGCCGTCGTGCGACTCGATGACCGAGTGAGCAGCTACGCGTTCGTGGTGCAACGAGTCCGCGGGCTGCCGCCGCCGCGCGTTCATTGTTCACACCCCTCGGTCACGGCCCAGCGGTCGCGGCAAGAAGCAGCAGCGAGCCTTCCACCACACGATCCACGAGCGCGTGAGTAATCCGCTCCGCGCGTTGTTGACGTGACTCCAGTCCGCCAATACGCGAGCACGTCCGTCGCGTTCGATCCGCGGTATCTCGTGTCCTCGCCGATCGCCGATCACGACCGCCGCGCTAATTAGGCGTAACGTAATTATGGGAGTGGGCGGCGCGGGTGTATTGTTGACGTTATCGTCTCGGCGAGGCCCGGCCGTGACGAGCAAGCGCGCGCGCTTGCCCCCGCGTCCCGTCGTCGGGCTCGGTTCGATCGAGAGTCGGGCGACTCGGTGCCGTCGGACTCGCGGATGTCGACGGCGAAAACTCTTCCCAGGTTGCTCATGAATTATTGATAAATTTGACAAACGACGTTTCTCCGTACGTCGCTCGTTATCGCATCTCTTCTCGGGTGACTTGGGGGGGAAATTTTACGCATATACCGTGTGCCGAGCAATCGCGCATTAATAAATCGATTTCTCGAGGAGCATCGAAGCTCGGACGTGTTGGTCGGCGAAAGTGTACGATTCGTTTCGAAAAATTGCATTTCTCTAGCGACGAAGATCGACGATAGTTTATCGCTATATATTTTTTTTGTGCGTGATCTTGGAATTGTATCGCGAACGTTGTAAAATTATCGACTGCACTTCGAGAGACTCTCACCTGCTGTTGGTACACTCCTATGAGTCACGCGTCTTATCTCCTGTTAAATGGAACAAAGATCGTGGGATATTCCGCGAAGTGTTGGATTCGCGTAATCCGCATCTCGGACAGCTCGGCAATGAGCTCGGGGACGAGCGCCGCGAGCCCGGGGAGCCCTCGCGGTAGATTACGAGCTTCGCAGGACGATTCGTGTTGTAACGCCGTTGTCCTAAAATTTTAATTGCAGGTACAAGATGTCGACCGGTCCATACAATTATTCCTACATCTTTAAGTACATCATCATAGGGGACATGGGAGTGGGCAAGTCATGCCTGCTTCATCAGTTCACAGAAAAGAAATGTGAGTAATGGAAGAAAAAAATAATACGTGGAGGAGAGGCCCCTATTATGAGACAGGCTCCTAATACGAGACGGCTTTCCGCTGAGTCAACGTTAGGCATCGTCTGTTGGTCCCATTATGAATCTATTCCCCCCCGGGGTGAAATCTGTTTAGTGGAAAATTGATCGTTAGATCGTGTAATCGTCGCGAAACAAAGATTGCCGATTGAATTTGGACGTTGAAAACCCACTGTCTCACATTGGAATCCTATCCCGCAATAGAGAAATTACCTCTGCATAATAATTATATTTATTTGCGGAGAGATTTGCGCGTAAAGATTGTGCCAAGTTAATTTTGTGACTTATCACTGTTTTTTTTTTATGACACATCCTCAAAGGATGCGCCGTAATCGTATGCGAATGTAATTATATGACTGCGATTCATTGCTGTGTGTGCTGTGCACGACAACGTTTGTAGTTGCAACAGTGCCCTAGCTTTCGTCTTGGTGTATCAATGGTAAAAAAATTATTCCGAGGATAAATTGTTAGATAAAAACAATTTACGTATGCGAAACTTTTTTATTCCTCTCTAGAGGCAGTTAAATATTCAACTCGTTCAGTGCCACCTGTAAATAAATTGCGCGGATGTTAGTGATTTTTCACGTGTGTACAAATTCTCATAAATCTGTTTAAATAAAGATACGCGTCGCCCGCGTGTTCTGCAATTAAATGTGCGGAACTGTTTCACTTGTGCTGCGGAGAGTAAAGCTAGAAATTGTTTCTCAATGTGTTACATTTATAGGAAGGAATTGCGGAATAAAAAGAGATTCTTATATACGTAAATGTTGTTGTGTGCACATTTAGTTATGGCGGACTGTCCACACACCATCGGCGTCGAATTTGGGACGAGGATTATAGAAGTAGCGGGGCAGAAGATAAAACTGCAGATATGGGACACTGCTGGGCAAGAGCGATTTAGAGCAGTTACCAGGTAACGACTGCAACGTTTCGGGCAATAATCGCGCCTGACGAGCGTAAAATTGTAAATGCATACAATGGAGAAAAAATTTCTTGCCAGATCGTACTACCGCGGTGCAGCTGGAGCATTAATGGTGTACGATATTACGCGTCGTTCGACGTATAATCATCTCAGTAGCTGGCTGACGGACACGAGGAATTTAACAAACCCAAGCACTGTACGTATATATTGCGTTACGTGCTGCGATGCAATTATAAGTGCTCTGTATTTAATTTTATAATTCAACATCTAAATTCAATGTCTACAAGAGAATGAGAGAAGAAAGGTTACTTTTCGGAAATATTTTATACAATCAATATGAACAAGTCAATTTTTTTTGCGCAGGTTATATTCTTAATTGGTAACAAAAGCGATCTCGAAGGACAACGCGATGTTACCTACGAAGAGGCGAAGCAGTTTGCCGACGAACATGGCTTAATGTTTGTCGAGGCCAGCGCTAAAACGTGAGTACCTTTAATATCGTAAGATATTGTTATATTTCAAACTTTAAATATTTAAATAACGAAATGGCGCGTTTGAATTTGCTCAACAGAGGACACAATGTGGAGGAAGCCTTCTTGGAAACAGCAAAGAAAATATTCCAAAGTATACAAGACGGGCGGTGAGTTTGACGATAATTTATAATTACATAAAATCATATATATTCAGTACACTGAAACACTCCAATGCCACTTGAGAGGTCTAAAGTTGATATATGTACTAACAGCTCCCGAATAATGTTCATTTGTGGATTGTTTTGTTTCTTATCGGTAGATTGGACCTAAATGCAGCAGAATCTGGTGTACAACATAATCCCAGTCAGCCAGGTCGCACCAGTCTTCAAGGAGTGTCTAATGAACAGCAGGGAGGGAAGGATTCCTGCTCCTGTTAGGTCTTATTATTTGTTTGTATATAGATATATTAATTGACCGGTACTATTAATGCATATGATTTGTACTAAGTGTAGTTGACAGATTGTCTCTTGTAGTCTATATCCTCCCTTTGATAAGCGAAGTCCACTTAAAAAAAAAAGAGAATGAAATACGTTCAGAATGATCTTTTTTTAATTAGCGCCAATTTACGATGTTCAATACAATGTTACAAGTATTCGACACAATGTAGAGACGTGCGTTGTAAAAATGATTCCGATAATATTGCTAACTTTTGACGCGTGCAGAGTCCGTGATCTGTCGATAAATACGGCTTTTGTATAATTATTGCAATTTATGTACTATTTTCACGTAGACGTTTTGTATATTTCATGCATTTTTTGCCGAGTCAGGTAAAGGAAAATAATTCATTTAGAATATACATATAATGTCATATGTAGAAGCACATATGTAGAAGCCAATCAACCTTTCTCATGTGTTCGACTGAAATTTTCTGTTGGAACGACTCAACGGCATACACAGGCGATGGAATTTACATTCGACTAATTTATACGTGCATGGGAGGATTGCATATTTGTTGTAACATGCAAGCTCTTGCTTTAAAAGATTTAATGAAAATTAAATTATAAGCGGTCAGGTTTTTTCTCAATCTCACTTTTTAAACCTGCTTTACCTGATAAGATATGCACATCCATGCGAGCTTCGTGATTTCCGTTATCGTTCGTACTAATTATAGATTGAGAAAGAGAAAGTAGGGATCAAAAATTTACTTCTTTTTTTCAATTAATATCTAAAAGATATATCTCTATTCTTGATGAAATATGAATATATATACATACACATATATATGTAAATTTAACATTGTTTTTAGTGACAAATTAAAGATTATTATTCGTCTTTCATTTGTAATATCAATTGAAAATCCAGTTTCGGTTTGTAGAATTTAAATGAGCGGATATGTGTCGCTTGAATATTACACGAAACAATGTAGTCTGAGATATCGTGCATTGTTTCCCGCATTTTTTTATCCACCCAGGGAATCTTTAACTTGACATATACTAATTCTATGCTTTATATTAGAGAACAGTATTAGCAAGATCTTATTTTTCACGTTACCTGTTCTACCGAGGGTTCACATAAACGTGTAAGCTAATTTAACATTAATAAATTAATTAGTGTTCTTTCACACACGCGCGCGCGCACACACACACAAACAAAGTTAAACTCTATCTTGTTATGTTAATGGTACAAACGTAATATTAACAGGGCTAAGGCGCCAAAAAGGAGGTAAAAGAGAAAACAAAATGAAAAGCAACATGCAACGAACACAATGATTTACGTTCTCTTCGGCGTTGTGCGACTTGTAAACGATTTGTATTCGGTAGCATAAGAAAATGCGAAGGATCGCCTCGAATAAACTTGACCAAAATTTTATCCGTCTGTTTGAACTTGAATCGGGCGGTTTCTTTTACTTCACATCCTCCAGCAATTGTATCTAAAATATTTTGAGAGGCAACGAATTCAGAATTTAATACACTTTTAGTCGCGTGTTCGACAGCATTCACGTTTTCGCGGAGCAACTTTAACACAAAGAACGCCAATCTCTGTTTTTCGTTAATGAATGCTTTCCCCAACGACTGTTGCTTCATTTCGAATGAACGCGGATTTTTTCACGTGCAGTGTCATTGTCTCTTGCTAAAAATCATCGATGTAAGTTTTGTGGAAAATCTATTTCCCGAATGTTCTATTCGTACATTATAATCAGATGCAAAACTTGTATAATAAAGGATTCAACTTGTCGCACATCGTTACAGGATAGAATAATGTAATTTCTCAAAAATCTTTTTTACCACGACCGAACAAATCTTTATTTTCACAATAAAAGATATACATTTAATCAAGTTTTGCTTACACGAGTGAAAAATTCATAATCGCGGAGTCTATAAGCAAGGCATTATTTAAAAAGAATTTTATTGTGCTTCTAATTTTTGCAGATAGTGGATTTAGGTCACTCGCAACAGTCGGGGAAAAGGTTGAAGTACAACGTGACATTCGTGAATCTCTCTCGTTTTGATCTACTTTTTGTTTTATCAAAAGTATGTCGCTCTCTTATCATTATACAACGCCTCGCTGAATATCATGGCTATTACTGTCGTGAACGTGGCGTGCTGGGGGGGCCACACTGCGAGTTTCAAGTAGCGTGCACGATCACGTTGCATGTCAACGAAATGTCAAGTGTCCATTGTTCACGTGGTCGAAGTGCGACCGACTCGACTCGGCCCGGCGAGCTCGTGGTCATTGTTGTCGATCGTGTCGTCCTCGGGGGGGAAGGATAGCTCTTTCGGGACATGAATTTACGGACGATCGCCACACTTATCGTGACCTGGCACTTGGCGAGAGGGTGAGGTGTAATGTAATCATCTAGTCATTATTGCTGCGACGCGCTCGAGAGTTGCGGTGCGTGCGGGACTGCGGATTCGGAAGGGAGGCGAGTGGCACTCGGATCAGAGAGACCAATGAATAAATGATTTAAAAAAAGGAGAAATTAAAAAGCCTGGATTTATTTACGATATCGCGGAGTAACATTTGACGCTGCGGACAATTCTTGGAGCTGAGTTTTCGTCCAATAACGCTTGCAATTCGGTGTTTCCGAACTTTTTCGGCCGACCTTTTAAATCGCTGAAACCATTCTTTGCAGATTCTTTCCGATGGACAATTGCCATGAGCTTCGACAAGTGATTTATGAGCTGTAGCTGCAGTTTTTTTTTCGAATCAAAATAATGAAGCAGCACACGTCGAAAGAACAACTTGTCACGTTCCATGTTTAATCAAAAGGAAGAAATGGCACTGTTCGATTAAACGAATCTTTTCGCACTGAATTTTATTGACAAATTTCTAACCTTTAAAATGCAGCCAGTTTCAGATGTCAAAGTAAAGCCAACGGCACACGATACTATTTTTCCTACTGGATTGCTTACGAGAGCCAATCAGGACGCAGAGTTTTCGATCAGGTGACTCAAAACTGAATCCTGGTTGGCTCTCGTAAGGAATCCAGTAAGAAAAATAGTATCGTGTGCCGTTGGCTTTAATTACACTTACAACTAGCGTCATCTAAAGCCAACGGCACACGATACTATTTTTCCTACTGGATTGCTTACGAGAGCCAATCAGGACGCAGAGTTTTCGATCAGGTGACTCAAAGCTGAATCCTGGTTGGCTCTTGTAAGGAATCCAGTAGGAAAAATAGTACCGTGTGCCGTAGGCTTAAATGTGAGCCGTGGAAACTAAAGCCAACGGCACACGATACTATTTTTCCTACTGGATTCCTTACGAGAGCCAACCAGGATTCAACTTTGAGTCACCTGATCGAAAACTCTGCGTCCTGATTGGCTCTCGTAAGCAATCCAGTAGGAAAAATAGTATCGTGTGCCGTTGGCTCAAGTTTATCGCCTAATACACTTATATAAGAATGACCTATGCCCAGTGAGAAATGATTCGTCGATCGACGTCGAAACGACGTCGAATCGACGTCGGATCGACATCGACACCATCGAATTGGCGTCGATTCGACATCATTTCGACGTCGATCGACGAATCATTTCTCACTGGGTGGAATATTCCAAATATTCTTGAAGAATATTCTTGAAATGTTCGTAGGAGTGTCTTGTGCCATCCGGGTATTGGCTTGCATGCTGATTCTTCAAATGCTTTTCCGTATTACAAAAAGAGAAATTGCAAATGGAATTCCATTCTGATTTTAAATGGGAATTATAGAGCGTTTAACTTCAACTGAGTTCACTCTTTGTCTCTTTCCAAGGGGAACAGAAAGAGACGAAGAATGAATTAAGCTACAGTTAAAAATTACGTGATGTTGGTGTACAACCGCGGGGGGCCTTAGACTTCAATCGTTGAAATTATTAAATTAAGACCAGCGAATCCCCATACAGCACAAAACTTGCAGTTATTGCAGCAATACATTGCAGCTACATTACAGCAATGTTGCAATATTGTAGCAATGTTATTGCAATGTAACTGCAAGTTTTGCGCTGTACGGGTCGTTACATCCCTTTCCTCGCATTGTACAAAGTATTTTGAATCTCTTCATTTAATCGCGTAGGACTATGCAACTGTACGATACTTCCAAGAATTGAATTCATCCAATTGTACAAAACTCAAGTTTACGCATTTACGCCATTTGGATTTGATTGAAGGAACAAAATGATGCTCTTTGACTTCACGGACGTGCAAAGCGTGGACGATTGGCGCGAGGTGTCCGACACCGTGAGAACAGTGGGAAAATCCAAAGCCGCCCTGGCGCTGCAAACGAGCCAGCTCTTCCAGAGAGCGATCCTCTTTACATTGTTGAATCCGCAGTCAAACGGCGCCTGCTTCGCCGGCGTCAGAAAACTGACGAATCTCGATCTGTCGGGATTCAAGAGTATCGAGATCGCTTGCCGGGGCCAGGGGCAAAACAGCCACTATAAGATCTCCTTGAGACATCGAGGAGAAAATTCCAACAGGGACCTCAGCTATGAACAATTCTTCACGGTAAAGTTATCGAAATCCCGTCGGGTTTATCCTTAACTTATCGTCGCTTTCTACGGCCGCGTCTAGGACAATCCTCTTCCGGTGAATATTCCGAGAGAATTTAAGTTTCAGGTGACGATGTCGGACGACAAATTTTATACTGTGACTCTACCTCTGGAAGACTTCAAGCCTTATTATCGTGGACGTGAGATTCCGAACGGCGAGCCTCTGGACACGGCGAATATTACTATGTTTGAATTTCAAATCTACGGTGGCGTTTACCTGTCCATCAAGCAACGTGGTGTATCTGCATTAGAGATAGAAACTGTAGTAGTTTCCCCTTAATAACTATTTTGGTCTTTTAAGTCATAATGGAAAAACGAAGCGTTCCCTAAAGAACATTTCTTTATTACGTCATGCATCAATGGCACGAATGCATCAAGTCTTGAGCACATAAATTTTTTGTAGTATATACTTCATCAAACATCTCATTGTCTGTAGACGAGAGCAAATAGAATGGAAATGTTATAAAAATAATAAATGGCACTATACAACATTTGTACATCAAAGACGAAAAATATTTTACATTGAATGGAACTAGAACTTGGATCAAGTTCTAGCATCGTGGACATAGGCCTCAAGCCTCGTCTACATAGAAGTCGTAAAGTCGTAGTCGTAAGAATAGTCGACTATGGCCCGGTTTCACCATGGCGAGTTAATCTAGGATGTG